GGCGAGGTTGGGCATCGCATGGATCTCAGGAGACAATCAATACCTGCCAGCAGGTGTAGGTGATTGGAGCGCAAATGGGGTGGGATACTAAACCCCTTTTTATATCCCTTGGGTCACGTAGGCTTCTTCCTGGTCTCAAGTGGCCAATTAGGAAAAATGGCTTTGAACGCCAAGTTTCCCACGAAGGGTGCAAAGCATAATTCACACCTGGGAAAATGAAGACAATGGGCACTTCTAGTATGTGATGGGTGAAGATTCCTCTCCTAGGACAGTGCGGGGAGGCCCCGGGTAATCAGCTAGCCCATTTACTGTCTAGTTTCTGTTTATTGGTACAGTCAGGGACAGGCAGCACACCTGCCTTCCCAGGGCATCAAAGGCTGACTGCCTTTCTCTTGCTCTCTGGGGAGGGGGGAGCAAGATGGAGTTCATGTCTGGCTATACCTTCCTTCATTACCTGAGAGAAGGGGCTACTGAGGGACAGTGTGTTTGGATTTGATAGCCGTGTGGAGCGGGATAGGTCAAGGGCAGGCCCTGATTCAGTAAAACACAAAGCTACATTTAATTTCAATCAGTTAGACTCTTCACTTCAAGTTAGATATAATCACGCTTTGCTAAATAAGCCCTTTAAACATTCAGTCCCTTGCTCCCGATGGCAACAGGAATTCTGGGGGCTAGGAGCATAGGTAAAGTTGTTTGGTTAAAGTTGATCACAAAAGGACTCACAGACAGAGAGGAAGTCTCATTGCTTACCAGTTTCCTTATCTCATTCTGATGATCAAGGGGATCATTTCTATTGGCTCATATTGATCTCCTTGTAATTTTCAGGATCCTGCATACTTTGCAAGGAAAATCCAAAGTCAATATACACAATCCATCCCTTCATCTGGACAAGCGGGCTCTGGAGATTCTGGGATTATTCACACGTGTACTCAAGATAATCAGAGCACCAAAAGAGAGAACCAGACACATTACTAGCTTTATATTCACAACAAGTAGTCCATTCAAGATCATCTCATCTGAAAAAGTGGGTTTTGCCCAGGAAAACTCATGATACTATATGTATATTTTTGTTAGTCTCTTAGGGTATGTCTACACTACAGTGTTATTTCGAATTAATTAATTCGAAATAATTAATTCAAATTAACGCATCTACACACAAAAGCTATTTTGATATAGCGTTTTGCTATTTCAAAATAGCACGTCCACACTGAGTGGACCCTGAACTGAAGTTAAGGCTGTCTGGAACCAGTGTCGGCAGGGCATCAGGTTAGGACTTAGTGTGTGGGGCTGCTGCTTGAGGCTAACTGAGCTCTGTGCTTAAAGGGACGCTACCCCCACTTGGGACAGATGGTTCTCAGGGTTCCCCGCTTGCTTGTCTACCTCGATGACGGACAGCAAAGTAGTCCTGTCTTGGAGTGCCCTGAGTGCCCGCACTTGCGACACCACAGCACTTGGCCACATGGAGCCAGAGCTGCCCCTGGACATGCTGGGGCGTCTTGTGGGGTTGTTGCGATCAGCCCGGCTGCACTTGCTGCAGGCTGCCATCCGGTTGGTCCATCGGGGCGGGGGGCTGTCAGGATCCTGGAGGCCCTGCGGGAGAGTGTCCACCCCAAGGAGCCCTCAGAGCCACCCCAGTCCTCCCCATGGGGGGCTCATGCCCCATTCCTCCCTCATGTCCTTCCACTTACCCCTCCCTAGCCCCCCTTCCTGATGTCAAATAAAAGACATGTATGTTCAAAAATAGAAAATGGGTTTATTGAACAAAACGGGGGCGGGAGGGGAGAGATGAACCTCTAGGGATACTGGGAAAAGGAGGTGGGAGAGGGGAGGAGGAAACCTGGGAGGAAGGAGCTGGAAGGGGGGAAGCAAGGAGAAGAAGGGGGAGGGGAAGCTCAGGGCCCGGGATTGCGGGTCTCTCTGAACCAACTTGATTTTCATGCAAACCTGCTCCTGGGTTCGCATGTGGCCTTTGGTGGCCAGGCTAGCAGCTATCCTGCCATAGATGGCCGCATTCCTCCATCTAGTGCGGAGATCATGGATGTTGGGGGCATCTCCCCCAAACCTGCATAAGGTCCATGATCTCCATCCTGGACCAGGAAGACGCCTGCCTTCTCCAGCCTTTGTCAGGCTCCTGCGAGCTGGCAGACTGCTCCTGGGGAGGGGTGTTGGGCTGGCTGCCAGTGGCTTGCTGGCTCATGTTTTCAGGCTACTGGGTCATGGGCAGTGACTGCTGGCTCTGGGCTGGCAGGCTTGGAGCTGGCACAGGAACTGTGGCCAGAGTCAACCCCTTTAAGGGCTCCGGGGAGGGGGAGAGGGAGTGGAGTGTTTTTGGTTGCAACTGGAGTGGCCACCAGGGTACCCTGGGAAGGCTGGAGGCCCCCTATTTCAAAATAAGTGTCTACACAACACTTATTTCAAAATAGCTATTTCGAATTTGGCATTATGCCTTGTAGAATGAGGTTTACCAAATTCAAAATAAGTGCTTCTCTATTTCGAATTTATTTATTTATTTCAAAATAGCTGTTTGACTGTTTAGATGCTAGGAAAGTTATTTTGAAATAACTTTGCTGTGTAGACATACCCTTTGTGAATATGTGTTGAATTTCCTGAATTGTTTCTGTTAAGTCAACAAAATTTTAAAAAATCACTGAAATTAAATATTTTGATGTTTTCAAGTGATTATGCATTTGGACCTTTTAAAAAAGA